CGACCATAGCGCAGCTTCAACTATACCCCATGCCTAGACTGGTTAGCTCGAAGCGAGAAGCACTCCCTACTACAGTAAGCGCACCATGGAAGGATGAAAGGAGCAGTGATGTCAGTGCCCGAGGGCATCCACAAAACAGCAGTCGACTTCTTTAATATCATCGGTGGCGAGCAGCTTCAGGAGTTCTTCTTCACTTGACACGCTAACAGTGACTCCCAAAGAAAGTGGGTACATTGTGCCATTTCCGACTGACGAAACGCCGCTGCGTGAGGAGGAGTGTTGTAGGCTCCTGAACCCATTTTCAGTATGTCTCGAAACGCAGGGATGCATTGGCTTTTGAGCTACGCACTGTGCTCGGGTACAAAACAAAAATTCACGGGGTATATGCAGGGATACACACAGTGTTTTTGGAATATGCCCATCTAAATTTTAGTAAAATGACGCAAAATTTTTGAAGGTGGAACCCTGAGTAGTTAGAAAGCTGCAGACATGTCCTGGTTCTTGTGGGGCTGTAGCCGTGTCTGTTTCAGGATGACTAACAGCTAGCTCCTCCATGGTTGTTCCTTATCCTCCTGCTCCACATGATGCATGCTTGTAAATTTCTGATTGCAACTAGTGAAGAAAGGCGCTCTTTGTGGGTGCTGAGCGGAGGCGCGCCCGTGGCCTGACAGGGCAATAGTGCTAGAGGTAATTCTGCCGCTTGAAAATGATTCGCTTCATATTAATGGTCAACAAGCAAGGTCAGACAAGATTATCACAGTACTACGAGTTGCTGGAGGTCTCGGAACGTGCCGCTTTGGAGGGAGAGTTGATCCGAAAGTGCCTATCTCGCTCGGAGAACCAATGCTCCTTCATACAGTATCGCCAGTATAAGGTTGTCTACAGACGGTAAGTCAACTGTCTATCCTGACATATCATCTGTAGTGCTAAGCATACTCATGAGTTGGTCATCTGCTTATCACCTGGGATAAAGTGCCAGAAAGCTCCCGTGGGTATAGGGTATTGTTGCAGCTCACGCACAGCCTGGGTAGCGTATATGCGATGGTGGTACAACACTAGAAATTACGCTGTAATGATGCTTCTCAGGATTATTTAATTCATTGTCTTGAAAGCAATTAGTGGTTATATCTGTGTGTGTTGTGACCCGCAATGTGTGGTGTTTGCGGCCATTCAGGTATGCGAGTCTGTACTTCATTGTTGGGCTGCTAGATGAGCCAGAGGTAAACGAACTCGCAATCCTGGAACTCATTCATTGTCTTGTCGAAACGCTTGACAGATTCTTCGAGAACGTATGCGAATTGGACATCATGTTCCACTTGGAAAAGGCCCACTTCATCATTGGTGAAATGGTAATGGATGGCTGCATCGTGGAGACAAACAAGGCAAATATCATGGCTCCGATCCACATGCTGGAAAAAGCGACCTGAATTACAGCAGTCCCAAGTCCATAAGCAAAGCGTACACACAAAGATCTGCACATGGGTATGCATGCCACAGGAAGTCGGCATCTGAGCAAGCAGAATAGCTGACTCGGGCCCATTTGGTGGTTCTTGCTGGTTTGGTGCTAAAATCAATCCATACTAAATCATCCGCAGTGCCTACCCTGGGAACTTTTGTACCCCGCATGGAGGTACACGCTTGCGGGTGGTTTCGCGTCTCAAGGAACTTTCCTGCACCTGCACGGGAAAGGATAATTTTTTGTTTTTTCTTTTAGGCCCCAACATTTGCGTTTCTTCATTATGACGTTTTACATTTTTTATGTTGCCTAGTCACAGTTCGTTCTTCCTATGTACTGCGCGGTCGTGGACCATATTCCTTCCTGCATGCACTCGTAGGAGGGAGTGAATCGCAGGCTTCAACGTGGTTCAGAGCTACCGGAACACTCTTGTGCATGTCCACCTGTTGACTTGCATTGGCAAATCCTTACGAACTTCACATGGGCTGTTGCACGCGGAGTGAGTGAGATTGCGGAGCACCCAGGGTTCGAACGCCCGCTTGCTGGTTGTGCAGCGGCGTTTTTGATGGCACTGCATCTATTTGTATGGAGCTAGCAGTACTCTGCACCAAGTAAGATATAAGATCGGACAAGCAAATGCTCAAATCCTTACCAATGCCGAGCCAAACATAACTAACGTGGTGGAAAGCGCTCAAGTGCAGCTTAGCCAGTTACCTGCAGCGTTACACGTGGCGTTGCGACTACCCTGGTACTGACTGGTACTAATGGTAACTAGGGAAGTGCAGGCCCATCAGTGCGTTAGTATCCATTTGAGGAACAACGAGTAAACAGCTTGAATAAGACCTAAAGCCCCCTAATCAGCGCGTACCTCCTATGCCATAGCCGTGGAAACTAAAGACTATCTGAAACTGGTGCTGGTCGATGCATGTAGACTCATTTTCAAATAACAATCATTCTAACCCAGAGCGTGCGGTGTTTACGTACGGATGAAGATGTTACAAAAACATCCCGTAGCGGGGAAACGCTCGAATTGAGCGCTCCCCCTGTTTGTATGTAGTAGCTACCTTCCTCGGGTACAAGGAGACCTTAATCACGGAAAACAATAAAAGATAAAGTTTTGGACCATTTAGTAAAAATTATATCCATTCCACAGTCTTGTGCTGAATATATCAGCGAGATCTATACCCAGCACAAAACACCCGCAGCCCCCCACACCTCATGGCCCACACTGCCACGCTGAATTCGCACTTTACCCTGGAGAGCAGTTCAACTGTGAAGAATTCCTGTCTTTCTGTACTTTGAGGAGTATCTGGACATTTTTGGGCATTCTGCTAGGCAAAAGTGGTATCTGCTCCTGACATTCGCGGGAAGCCATTTAGAGTATTTAATGTTTTGATCCTTGGGAAATCGCTTTTAAAATGGGTTTATGGTCAGGCAACAGTCCTCCTTCACGCAGCGGCGTTTTGTCAGTCGGAAATGGCACAATGTACCCACTTTCTTTGGGAGTAACTGTTAGCGTGTCAAGTGAAGAAGAACTCCTGAAGCTGCTCGCCACCGATGATATTAAAGAAGTCGACTGCTGTTTTGTGGATGCCCTCGGGCAGTGGCATCACTGCTCCTTTCATCCTTCCATGGTGCGCTTACTGTAGTAGAGAATGCTTCTCGCTTCGAGCTAACCAGTCTAGGCATGGGGTATAGTTGAAGCTGCGCTATGGTCA